TTTTTCTGTACACTTTGAAATGATCACCACAAAAGTTCTAGTGTGCTCAAGGGAGGAGGTGAGATCAGTGTCTTCCTACTCCACTATCTTGGCCACACTTTTGTAATCATCCCATTCAGAAAGCATGTTGTATACCTTTCAGCTAGATCCTCTAGCATTTTTATCCTAGGAATTTTCAAGACTCAGTCTGACGTTTCATCATCTAGACTATCTCTGGTTCTGCTTTCATTGACTCTTTCCTTATAGGTACATTTTCTTGATTCTTACTTTTTTTTTAATCATATGCAGGCATTTGCTGTCAAAAACATACTAATGCAAACAATATTTACTTAAAAAAAGAACAAAATCTTCCTCTGTCTGGCTTTTAGAGTGAGGACCTAAGTCGTTCTGATCTGTCGCTGGTTGCACTAGGCATGTGTTGTGGCTTTAGTTTGAATCAGTTGGCTCACTGAAAGCTTGAGTTGTTTTGAGGGTGACCTGGGACTTTCTCTTCAGCAAGATTTATGCCCTGCACCTGCCATAGTTCTGGAGATCTTTTTATGGATTACAAGTGACTTAACCGCTTTCTGAACTTTGTGAAAACTCTCTTTACAGTCTGGTGGTAAGATTTATGGATTGCTAGGGGGTTCTTTTTGGTCTCTAGATTAATCCCTGTGGTTTTGTGGCTTAGAGAAACATTTTTTCTCTACTAGTTTGTGCAGGCCTCCTGAGGGCAGCCTTAACCCCTCGATGAAGCTTTGGAATGCCATGTGTTTTTCTCAAATGTCTTGCATTTTCTCAAGCATCTGGTGCCTGAGAAACTGTAGCGCCTCCAGTGAATTTCCTCTAGTTCTCTGGTCCTAGTTCTTGCCTTTGGAGAGTGGCTTCTTTGTGCCTGTAGAAGGCACTGTGGGTGATCTTTCTCAGTGCTCCTGACCTGCCCTAAGCCTTTGGCATACTACATCTGAGCACTCAGTAAAGACCCATTAGAAAGATTTGATGGGTGAATTTGGTCTCTGTACCTGGGGTTTCTCAGACTATTAATCTGTTATGCCAGCCCAGATACAGCCTTAAATTTTTGTTAAAATTTCAGCTGTTTCTCCTTATCCCCAACTATTTTTTCCTCATCACTCTGCCAGGAAAGCAAACAGCTGATAATTTCATCTCTCTTTTAAAGAGCTTGTCCTTTCTTGGAATTTAGTTCAGTTAGGTTTCTTTGTGTCTTCTACTCGTATGTTTGGAAAAAAGACGTTATAGCTTCTCTCACTTGTTTTGTTTGTTAGGGTGAGACCAACACTCTAATGTGATTTTCTACATCATAAACAGAGACAGAATTTTTATGTGTAATATTTTTAAAGAATTTCCATTAAAAAGAATTCATTTGAATCAGTTCTAATGAGATGGATGAAACTGGAGCCCATTATACAGAGCGAAGTAAGCCAGAAAGATAAAGACCATTACAGTATACTAACACATATATATGGAATTTAGAAAGATGGTAACGATAACCCTATATGCAAAACAGAAAAAGAGACTCAGATGTATAGAACAGACTTGTGGACTCTGGGAGATGGCGAGGGTGGGATGTTTCAAGAGAACAGCATCGAAACATGTATATTATCTATGGTGAAACAGATCACCAGCCCAGGATGGATGCATGAGACAAGTGCTTGGGCCTGGTGCACTGGGAAGACCCAGAGGGATCGGGTGGAGAGGGAGGTGGGAGGGGGGGCTGGGATGGGGAATACATGTAAATCCATGGCTAATTCATTTCAATGTATGACAGAAACCACTGCAATGATGTAAAGTAATTAGCCTCCAACTAATAAAAATAAATGGAAAAAAAAAAAAAAAGAATTTCCTGACATATTCAGCATGTCTGGCAATTTTAGCAGTTACCATACTGTAGGAGAATTCTAAAGGGGATGGTCCCCAAATAACTTCTAAGTGATTCAGTAGAAGAGCTTTTCACTCCATAAGACCATTCCCCAAGTCCATTTGTCTTTCTCTGGATCATAACTTTAATCAGCTCTTGGGACAGGTAGAATCTTTGTAGCACTGGTTGCTCTAGAAATCTTACTAATAACACCACGCATATTTATGTGGTGCTTCTACAGGGATTCACTCTTATTTACTGCTACATCCCTAAGTCCAAGAACAGTATATACAGAGACCAAACATTTAATAAATATTTGTTGAATGACTATTTGATCTTTATTTCTGAAGATAAACAGAAAGAAGAAAGAAATTCACAGTTGTTAAAATATCTACTTTGTGTTGGGAACTGTTAAACTCACTTTGTATTCATTATTTCAGTTAATACTTAGACTAACACTGTGATGAATTATTATTAGTGTTTCAAAGAATAAGAAACAGAGCTCCAGCGGAACTACTGGCTAACTCCACTGGAAGCCAAGTCGACTCTTTGTTCTTGACCATTTCCACACTACAACTCTGTCTCTTATAAAATGATTTTCCCTGCATAAGAAAACTGAGGAACACAAGGTCTCTAGGAATCTTTCACCGCTGATAACTGAGATGTCTCTTCTCAATTATAACCAAAGTTCAAATGTCTGCATCCAGGGAGAAAGAAGACACATGTACGAATTTTTATATTTGATATTCAGGATTAAAATGAATTTTTTCAATAACAAATTCTGTCTAAGTAAAAACATTAAAGTATTTGAGTAAATAAAAGGGCTATTAAAACACTAATATTAATGCACATAAATATTCTTTTTCAGATTATTTTCCATTATGGCTATACAAAATTAGTTTCCTGTGCTAGATGGTAGGTCCTTGTTTTTCTTCTACTTTATATATAGTAGTATGTATTATGTTAATTCCAAACCCCTAATTTATTCCTCCCATCACTGCTATCCCCTTTGGTAGTCATAGTTTGTTTTCTATGCTTGTGAGTTTATGTCTCTTTTGTAAATAAGTTCCTTTATATCATTGTTTTAGATTCTGCATATAAGCGATACTGTATGTTATTTATCTTTGACTTACTTCACTTAATATGATAATCTCTAGGTCCATCCATGTTGCTGCAAATGGCATTATTTCATTCTATTATTTTGTGGCTGAGTAATATTTCTTTGTGTGTGTGTGTGTGTATATATATATATATATGTATGTATATATATATATATACCACATCTTCTTTATCCCTTCATCTGTCACTTATGTTGCTTCCATGTCTTTGCTATTGTATTTAATAAACAGTGTTGCAGTGAACACTGGGGTGCATATATCATGTAAAACATTTTTTAACTCTTCCTGCTTAATTATTTTTCTAACATTTAAACTCAATTAAATTGATCTTCATCATCAGTTCTACCATGACAGAAATACAACCTATGATAGTTTATTTGCTCCAATCCTAATTTGTTCATTTAATATTAATGCTATTGGGCATCTTTGTTGCAAGACATTTTCAACCTTTATGGAGAAGAATTGAGATTTAAATTAATATAAAATGCTATATGAAATATATGTCAAATAGTAATTTAGTATATTTGAAAAAGACTAGAAAGATAGAAGAAAATTGAATCTATTTATGGAGTAAGAGATGGAGAAGAAAATGACAACCCACTCCAGTATTCTTGCCTGGAAAATTCCATGGACAGAGGAGCCTGGAGACTACAGTCTATGTGATAGTATAAGAGATGGACATGACTTAGTAACTCAATAACAGTAGCAACAACAAATAGGGTAAAAGGATGGAGGAGATCATACAGAGGGGAGGCTAATGACTCATAAAGAGAGCATAGTTGATGAAGGCAGACTCTGGGGGAAAGGAAAAAACAAAACATGGTCCTACTCAAAGCTGTGTGAATTGGGGCAAGCCAATTAATTTTTTTTTTTTTTGAGCTTCATGTTTATACCTCTGTAAAATGGGGCTAATAATACCTATTAGGCTTGTGGTAAGAATCAAAGAGATATTTTAGGGACAGTACTTAACAATCTGTAACGTACCACTCACATGTAGTTTGCAAGTGTGTCTAGGAAGAGACAGTGGAAAGGTCAGCAGCCCCTCCAGTTGCCCCATTTAACTAGTGAACGGCCAGGGAAGTCCTTGAGTTTATATATATATGTATATGTATGTGTGTGTGTGTGTGTGTGTATAAATATTTTTTTCCTCTTTCTGTATCCCTAGAGGGAGTACTACCATATTTCCCCTTCCATCTTGCCCTACTTCCAAGGGCAATTCTTGTTCAGCCACAGAGTTTATGCCCCAGAATCCCTGACTGAGCTTCTCATGCTCACAGGAGTTTCTTTGCAGAGTCAATGCATTGCTAGTCATCTGTCTTCCAAAGTCCCACCTGTCAAACCCCACTGATCCATCCTTGTGGAAGTGTGGGATGGCGAGCCTCAGGTGAAAGAGGCAGTCTAGGATAACAGAAATCTGAATTATTGTCTATTTTGTGAAACAATTCAGTTTTATTTCTTTCAAATATGTCAACTACCTAGAACAAGTTGAATAGCATTGTCCTGAAGGAACTTGCTTTGGAGAATAGCCAAATAAGATGCATAGTTAGCACACTGATTGTGGTAGGAACAATTAAATAGCTTAAATGCCTACTTCCCCTCCCTCACCTTGTTTACATTATTAATTTAGTCAATAGACACTTCTTCAAAGAATATAAGGTGAACATTAAACCTCTAAGTTCAATTACGTTCAGTGATCACAGAGTAAATAATAGCATATGCTTGTTCTTTAGAGGTTACTTTACAATAATCTCATTTTGTATTCCCAACAACACTAGGAGGTGAACCGGAAAGTTTTCTTATCTTTAGTTCACAGATGAGGAAATAGCATCTCTAAGACATCAGGTAACTTATATCTATATAAGGCCATGAAGCTAGAGATCAGTCAGCTCATTCATACTTAATCTGATTCTTCAGAGATTTACTGTATTTCTGTTGATGTGGCAGAGGAATCAAAGCAAAACAAATGCTGAGCATCCGAGGTAGGTGATTTTATTCATTTGTTCATTCATTCCTTTTTATTCCCAGCGATGGCTCCTATGCCCAGAACACAATACGTGTCTCAGAAGGCCACTCATTGCATGAATGGAAAGGAGGATAGATGGAAGAATTTACTGTATATAGTAATAAATATAAAACAGGTAAGTAAGTATATCTCGCTGTACCAAATTTACATCCTCTCAAGTAGAACAAGCACTAAGGGAAACAACCTCACCAGATCAGTTCTTCTTTCTTTAAGCTCCCAGATGAGTGAGGAATTCCTGCCTTGTAAGTGACTAGAATAAGTGATCAGATGGCCATTCCTTTCTCCCCATCCTCATCCATCCCACCCCGTCCAAAAGATCCTCACCATCTGCCTCATCCTTCTAATGACTTCTATTAACCTCCTGGGATGGCTTTTCTCTCTGTTTCATAGCTTTTGTCTCTGTCTCTTTCTCTTTGTGTGTCTCCTTCCAGACTTCTTTCTCTTTTTCTTCTTTTCCATTTCCTCCTCTACTTTCTCCTCCTATTCCTTTCCCATTCCCCCTCCCATTCCCTTTCATCATCATCATCATTATTATTACTTTTTGGTTCAGTGGGAACTTATTCAACCCTGAATGGTATATGAAGTGGATAGCCTTTCCCTTCTCCAGGGTATCTTCCCAACCCAGGGATCCAACCCAGGTCTCCTGCATTGCAGGCGGATTCTTTACCAGATGAGCCACAAGGGAAGCCCGAATGGTATAGCTAAGGCTAGCTATTTCCACAAAATGATTGGCTCACTTGAGGATAAAGACACCATGTGTATCTTAGTCAATAATCCACTTTTCACATGAAATAGTTATATTATTAAAATATTTAGGAGTTTTCTAATGATTGACTTTATTCTGTACTTTGTGCATTATTGAGAATTACTTATTGCATTAGACAAGTGAAAGTCGGTCAGTCATGTCTGACTCTTTGCGACCCCATGGAATTCCATGGGATACAGTCCATGGAATTCTCCAGGCCAGAATACTGGAGTGGGTAGCCTTTCCCTTCTCCAGGGGATCTTCCCAACCCAGGGATAGAACCCAGGTCTCCTGCACTGCAGGCGGATTCTTTACCAGCTGAGTCACAGGGGAAGCCCAAGAGTACTGGAGTGCTTTTCCAGTGGATCTTCCCAACCCAGGAATCGAACCGGGGTCTCCTGCATTGCAGGTATTATTATTGCATTATTCTTCTGTAATAAGGGCATTTCTAAGGAGTATCAGATAATCCAATAATACATCAGCTTTTCTCTTTTGCTGAAATTGAGTGAGATTTCTGGGAAATACCTTAATTAAAGTGATTAAATGGCAGCTCCGGACTGAATATGAGATTCTGTAACAGTCTGCTTCTGCTGAGCATCAGGTCCAGCATGTTTCACAGACCCTTAACTGGTCTCCAAGCTTCTAATTCTTCAGGCACTGACCCCTCTGCCCCCTGCCATAAACCCCAGCCTCAGGAGTAATTTTCCTTAAAAAAAAAAAAAATCAGATTTTGTGAGCCTTCTATTTAAAATGTCAGTTGGTTCTTAGTCAACAATGAGGGATTGTTAACACTCCTTTTGATGCTGTGCAAGGCCCTTCATGATCTCTTGTTTTTAAAAAAAGGAAAAAAAAGATTTTTGACTTTTCAATTTAATGTTGTGTTTTTTAAAGTCTTTATTGAATTTGTTGTTAATACAGTATTACTTTTCTTTTAGGTTTTGGTTTTTTGGCGGTGAGGCATGTGAGATCTTAGCTCCACCACCAGGAGTCAAACTTACAACCCCTGCATTGGAAGGCTAAATCTTAACCATTGGTCCACCAGAAAAACCCCTACTTGATCTCTTTAGACCTGATGAAACACTCCTCCCTCCCTCCCCATCCATTGTCCTGGAACATGGACGGCGCATCTTTTCATTTATTTATTTTCACATGGGTGCCACCATTCCTTTTGGAATGCTTCCTTCTCTCCCTATGCCCTTCCTCTATTTTACCTTGTGATGGAGGAGAGAAGGGGATGTATTTGAAATATATTTCCCAGGTTCCAAATTCATCTCCTCCATAAAGCCTTGGTATATTTTGTCATTCGATGTGAATATATCCATTTTCTTGGTGTGTCCTTGTATTATGGCCTGGCAAGTTCTGTCTTGTATTGCAATTATTATTATTATTATTATTACCATTTGGTGTGTGTTTCTCTCTTTCCTGGCCCAAGTTTATATCTTATTCACCACCTTTCAGGTGTTGCATTCAGTGTTGGGCACACACTTGCTGAACAGGATTAGGCGGCCACTAATTGCTGAACTGAATTCTCCTTCTGTGCTTTGAGTTGGAACAGTCTGTGAATAAGATCCCCTCAGTTCTCAGGAACCATATCACAGGCTATGATTCCAGTAAGAAATGAAAGCTTAACATTTATTATCTCATAAGTTAAAAGTTCTGACTGAGGCTTTATTTTGGAAACACATCACAGAAACACAGAAATCAAAGCATTTCTTTCACATCCATAGAAGATAATGACTCAGCTATGGCACTGCCTTCTGTTCTGCTGGCCCCAGGCTCTCCGGGTGTATGTTCCTGTTTCAGATGGAGTCCCGAGGGTGGCTTTGTGAATTTCTATCGTCTTCCTGGTAAATGAATCATTTTGTGCTGTTTTCCCGTGAAGGGGAACATTCACCATCTCCTTCACTATAGGATGTTTAGATTGAGTTTAACGTTTCTACTCTTATAAATCATGTTTCTGGATTTTGTTGATAAAGTTTCATTTCACATCGTATCCAAGGCTGATGCCTAACATGGCAAAGTGATACAGTAAGGGTTTGAGATCTGGAGACTTTGAATACATGAGTTTGGGCAAGTCCTTCACTCTCTCTGAGGTTCAGTTTCACGCAGAGAATCAGGACAGTGATACACCTTTATAGGACTGTTAGGCGGATCTTACAAGGTGTTACTTGTGAATGGGCTTTTCAGCCTGGCAGGGAAGCTGTGGAGGAGTTCCTTCTCTGAAAATGAGGGGGTTGGGAGGCTGGGGAAGTAGTTGAAAAGGGTTCTGTCACCACTGCCATTTGGAGGAGCTACTATTTTTATCCCCTATCTTCTCTTTGCTTGTTAGTTGCTCAGCTGTGTCCGAGTCTTTTGTGACCCCATGGACTGTAGACCTCCAGGCTCCTCTGTCCATGGAATTCTAAAGGCAAGAATACTTGAGTGGATAACCGTTCCCTTCTTCAGGGGATCTTCCAGACCCAGGGATCAAACCATGGTCTCCTGCATTGCAGGTCATCTGAGCCACCAGGGAATCCTCTTTGAATCAAGATTAATTTTTATGTGTTTGGTGCATATGCCTATGTGTTATTATATCTAGAACTCAATCTTTTGAGTACCATGAATCTCTTAAGTATTGTTGAAGAAGATGGATCTTTTCAGAGATGTTTTTAAGCTCAAAAATATTAGACTGACCAAGAAAAATTATACTGAAATACAGTCCTAACTCTAGATCCTTTTGGGACTCATGCACTGCAGCTTAAAAGTTTTGAAATTGTCTTGAAAATATAAAATCCAAAATGGGTCTTAAGAGTCACAGACACCTCTACACTCTTACTTTGTGTGTGCTCAGGTGCTTAGTCATGTCCAGCTCTTTGTGACCGCATGAGCTGCAGCCTATCAGGCTTCTCTGTCCATGGAATTTTCCAGGCAAGAATACTAAGAGGGTTACCATTTCCTCCTCCAACACGCTCACTTTACTGAGAGGAAAAATGTGATCTCAAAGACAGGTCCCCAAAATCGGTCCAGAATCACACAGAGTTTTGTTCAGTGGACATTTACAAGAATATCTATTTCTATTTACTCTGCTTCCAGCCACAAACAACCCTTGGAATTATTTGTGCCTTGGTTCTTGTTTCCAGATCATAAAACTGTAGACTTGCTGGGTTGAATGCTATTTGGAGTGATTTACTGGCTGATCATTTCAACCCAAAATGGAGATCACAGATGGAGACTTCCTAAATGTTCAGTACACCCCCGCCAAAGTGCATTTGCACAATCAAGGTTATCCTAATATTAATTATTCATGGGCAGAGACTAACAAATGAATTCTAATTGCAAATAAGTGCAATTGCTTTCGATTGCATAATTTATGATTCCATTTGTTAAATTAAGACAATAGGAATTGATGAAAGGCATTAAGTGGCCCCAAATTAAAGGTAATTTGGGTTCAAAAGCTTATATTTATGTGGGTGTAACTTGATTTTGTCAGCTTGTCTGAGATTCCCCTCTCTTCACTGGTGATAAATATACCAGGTAATCTGTGTTCCATTGGACCCCATTTCTGGCTGGAGATGTATCAGTCTGGGCTTTCTGGAGAGAGACCTGTGGTCAAGCTCATGAGGAAAGCATCTCTTGTCCATGGGCGGCTCCGTAGCCCCTGTCTTTCCCTATGGCTTGGGGTCTGTCCTCTGGGGCTTGGCTGCATGAGAACTGGGCAGGGCAGCTTTGTCTGCATTGCACTCTGACACTTTGCTGAAGAGAGTGCGAACGAGAGACCAAAATGGGCAGTAGAGAGGTCCACTGGAAATTATTTTCTAGAAAATAAATAAAATACTTTTCTTTCCATGGGACAGACAATCCCACAGACCAGCATCTCACAGAGGTTAAGCGCAACCCCTGAAAAATTGCTCAGTGCTTTTCCTATATGTAACATGAGACAAAGACTCTACTGAAGAAGGAATCTTTCACATAATAAATTTGAAGATAACTTTGTTAAAGAAAAAAATGGATCTTAGATTCATGGTGTATGCAATGAGGCATTTGGAGTTTAAAATATTCCCTGTGAGCGTCCATTCCTGTGTTTTGACTTCCCTTAATGTGAAGAAACAGAGCTATTCCTGGGAAATATTTGAATTTTGAATCTCACAAATTTGTTCTCTAAAGGCAAAATTTCATCTAAGCACAAGGGAGGTATTTGGAAACAATATGCTTTAATATAACTGTGTTTACTTTAGGCTCTGTGTTTAATTAGTGAACAAGATAATGGTTTTATTGACTTTTGCTTACATATCGTGGACTAAAGAAAACAGCGGACCCGGGCTGGAGACAGTCTTGCCACACCTCGTGGGATTGGCTGCTTTACAGGAAGTCTGTTCCCTGCCAGCGCAGGGCTGGGGTGGCCCTGAGTAGCTCTGTGACACCCAGGCCAGGCCACATAGCGTTAGTCCACAGGAACTTGGGGAGGCACAAGAGAATCCAGAGCAGCTAGAACTGAGGATCCGAGTGGAGAGCAGACACTCAAGGGGAGGCTGTTTGCAAATGGAGAGCCGGAGGCCTGCCCTGACGGCTCTCTGTGCATTTATAGAGAAAGGTTACATACGCCCTACTGCCTGGTTGTTTTTGCTGGGTGAGGATGGATTCAGGAGACGAAAGAAGAGATGCCTGAGAATGGATTTATGAGGGAGTGTAGCCCAGTCTTGGCTCCCTGGGCTGTGCTGGGTTCTCTGGCTTCAGTGCCGATGCGGGTGACGCTAAGTTCGCCATCCATGGCTGGTGCCTAGAGAGTTCTGTTCAGTTCTAGAAATTGCAATTTCATGCTAATCCCTGGGGAGACAAGATGCTGGCAGGGTCCTAAGGCTTGGGAAACAGCCTCATGAGTGATAGTTTCTATCTGCTGAGTTCCTGAGGTGCCAGACACTTTAGTGTTATCTTACTTAGTGTTCATAAGGCAGGGGCTGTTCATGGTCGTGACTGTTCCTTAAGTGGAGGGTTGGAATGGCTTTGCCCACAGCTTGTAAGGGTGAGGCTGGACACAGCTCTGTCTTCTGACTTTAAAAGTGAAAGTGGGGAGGGGCCTGGAAGGTGGTGGAGCCTGAGCTGCTTATTAGTGAGGCTTTTACAACAGGGCAGGGGGGTGCTGTCTGGAAGTGTATGTGCTTGAGAGGGCTACGGGTGAAGCCATATCTCAGCTCCACCACCCACTAGCTGGATAAATTTGAATGCATCATCCATCTTCTTTGAGCTCCAGTTTCTCCCACACTGAAAGGAACTGTGACAAATGCACCTTCGGGAGAGTTGTGGTGGAGACCAGGTAAGATAATTTAAAGTGCTGACATGGTGGGTGGTTAAAATTGATAGGAAAGCCCAAGTTGTTCAGTAGACGGACTTCAGAGCCTTAACAAGAGGGCTCCAGTCTGGCACCAAATATCACTGCACAGGAGTCTCCTCTTGGCATTGGGTGGTCGATGGGGGAGGAGAGCAAGCCCTGGAACCATTGTCTCGATTCTGGACCCCTAACACTTGTACTATGAGAGTCTTCACAAGCCATAGCTTGGCAGTCTTGTTTAAAACTACAATCTGGACTCTATGGGAGAAGGCGAGGGTGGGATGATCTGAGAGAACAGCATTGAAACATGTATATTATCAAGTGTGAAACAGATCGCCAGTCCAGGTTGGATGCATGAGACAAGTGCTCGGGGCTGGTGCACTGGGATGACCCAGAGGGATGGGATGGGGAGGGAGGTGGGAGGGGGGTTCAGGATGGGGAACTCATGTAAATCCAAGGCTGACTCATGTCAATGTATGGCAAAACCCACTACAATATTGTAAGTAATTAGCCTCCAATTATAAAAATAATTGGGAAAGAAAAAAAAAGAACAAGCAGGAGGAAAAATGGCAAAAAAAAAAAAAAAAGCAACCCTATAATATGGATGCAAATGAGAGGTCTGGCAGGGACACCTAAAGAATCATTTTGCCTTGATTCTAACTAGGAAGCCATAAGTCCTGGATGTCACTAGTCTTTCTTACCACTGCTGATGACT